GGAGCCAGGAACTCCCTCCAGGTCTCCCATGTGGGTGCCAAGGACCCAAACACTTGGCCCATCTTCTGCAGCCTTCCCAGGCGCATTAGCAGGGAGCTGGATGGGACGCAGAGGAGCCAAGACTTGTATGTGATGCCAGTGTCACAAGCGGGTGTAACCAGGGAGGCACAACCCAGCCCTGTCGTTGCATTTACATTTTCCCATCTGTCACTGTCCCCTGCTGTCTCTTCTTGCCGCGCCTTCAGTCTTACCTTCACGTCTGGGCCAGTTTTTCCTTCCACTTCGCTGAGCTCTGTTGGATCCACCTTCTCGTCTTGTGTCCCCGCCTCTGCCGGAAGCTCTTGTGTTTGTGCTCTGAGCTCTTCCTGCAGATGGCCGTTTCATTCACTGGGCTTTCTCTTTGTCACTTTTGCAGAATGCTTTATCGTGGCTTTAACTGCTCTCTGGCGCCATTTTCCAGGGTGTGGTCTTAGTCTGCTGTTTTGTTTTCCTGTTTCTTTCCTGATTTTTTTCTTGTTGTACCTTTATATAGATCCTGTGCAGATTTATCTTTCATGCTTGTCCCTAAATAGATGCGTTTTTTAGGGACTGGCTATTTGCAGGATGCTGGAGCGGGGGCGGGGCTACGACTGTGCCCCAGGCTGCCTTTGGACTCTGGGTGAGTTCACTGACCCCGTTCTTTGTACACGGGTGGAGGGGAGCATCTCTGAGCAGTGGCTCCCTTGTGCCTGAGACGACTCTGTGAGGCACGCACAGCTTGTTTGTGTGGTTATTCATTTGTCCCAGCCCCGGGTCCCAGGAAGTTCCTGCTCCAAAACTGAGGGTGGGCTGAGGGCAGACCGGGAGCTGGGCGCTCAGTGCTGCTGCTGCCGTGCTGCACGGGGGCGTCGTTGGACTGACTTCTCCTCCCAGGTAACATGAGGGTTACCTACCTCAGGCCGCTGGTTAAAGTTAAAGTAAGTTGCAAAAAGTGCTTGGCGCGTAGTACTACTTTGCACCCAAGAAGGCTTGGTTAGCAAAATGAACAGAGTACTGATATCGAGGCCTAGTTCTTTCTTCGTTTCTTTCCTTCCTTAAGCAATTTAGTAAGGTGCACGTACATCAAGTTTGGCATCCTTGCCACTTTGAAGTTTGCAGTGCGGTAGCTTTAAGTACATTCACGTGGCCGGGCGTCCGTGACCATCGCCCGCCTCCAGAACTCTGCATCCTGCAGACTGAAGCAGTGTGCACAGAAGACAGCTTAGTCTCTTCCCTGCCATTCTTCTTTCTGTCCCTGAAGTGTGACCGCTCCAGTACATCCCGACCTCGTCCGTTGTGTCTGGTTTACTTCATTTAGCATAATCTCCTCAGGGTGCACTCCTGTTACAGCATTGGTTCCTGCACCCACGTGGGAGACCCCGATGAAGCGCGCCTGGCTCCGGCCTGACCCAGTACTGGCTGTTGAAGACATCTGGAGGGTGAACCAGTGGCTGGAAGATCTCTCCCTGGGTCTCTCCCTCTTTCTCTGTAACTCTTTCAAAATAAATAAGTAAATCTTTCTAAAAAGTTCATGAAGACACATATTATGAAAAAACTGGGCATGAATTTATTTCTTTCTCTCTCTCTCTCTCTCTCTCTCTCTCTCTTTCTCTCTGGCAGAGTTTAGACAGTGAAAGAGAGAGACAGAGAGAAAGGACTTCCTTCTGTTGGTTCACCCCCCAAATGTCCACTACGGCCAGCACTGTGCCGATCTGAAGCCAGGAGCCAGGTGCTTCCTCCTGGTCTCCCATGGGGTGCAGGGCCCAAGCACTTGGGCCATCCTCCACTGCACTCCGGGGCCACAGTAGAGAGCTGGACTGGAAGAGGAGCAATTGGGACAGAATCCGGCGCCCCGACCAGGACTAGAACCCAGGGTGCTGGTGCCACAGGCAGAGGATTAGCCTACTGAGCTGCAGTGCCGGCCTCTCCTTCCTTTTTAAGGCTGTATAATATTCTCCTGTATGTCAAGACCACCTTTAGTTTTTCCACTCATCTGTTGATGAACCCTTGGGTTGCTGCCACCTCTTGTTTGTTGAGATTATCTTTGCTTTGAACATAGCAGTACAAGACAAGGACACTGCATAAAGTTTGTGGGAAACTAGAATTGAAAGATAAGATAAGGGCCCCTGCGCTGTGGCACAGCGGGTTAACGCCCTGGCCTAAGGCACCGGCGTCCCATACGGGCGCTGGTTCAAGACCCAGCTGCTCCACTTCCAATCCAGCTCTCTGCTATGACCTGGGAAAGCAGTAGAAGATGGCCCAAGTCCTTGGGCCTCTGCACCTACATGGGAGACCCTGAGGAAGCTCCTGGCTTCGGATCAGCTCAGCTCCGGCCATTGTGGCCATCTGGGGAATGAACCAGGGCGTGGAAGCTCTCTCTCTCTCTCTCTCTACCTTTCTCTGTAACTCTATCTTTCAAATAAATAAAATTTTTCTTAAAAAAAAAAAAAAAAGGTAAGATGAGAGACAGGCATTTGGCACATGGGTTAGGCCCTGCTTGAGACACACACATCCCAGATCAGAGTGTCTGGATTTGAGTCCTGGCTCTGCTCCCAACTCCAGCTTCCTGCCAGTGTGCACCCTGGGAGGCAGCAGGTGATGGTTCAAGTGTCTGGGTCCCTCCCACCCATGTAGGAGGCCCGGTTTGAGTTCCTGGTTCCTGGTTTTGGACTGGCCCAGCCCTGCTGTCATGGGTGTCTGATGAGTCACTGGCTGCTGGGAGCTTGCGTTGTCTCACTCCTCTCGGCCTTAAAAATAAATTTAAAAAGAAAAAAAGTTATTTTGGTGTAAATAAATTGAAATTCATGGCCTGCGCCATGACTCACTAGGCTAATCCTCCGCCTGCAGCGCCGGTACTCTAGGTCCTAGTCCCGGCTGGGGCACTGGTTCTGTCCCGGTTGTTCCTCTTCCAGGCCAGCTCTCTGATGTGGCCCAGGGGGACAGTGGAGGATGGCCCAAGTGCTTGGGCCCTGCACCTGCATGGGAGACCAGGAGGAAGCACCTGGCTCCTGGCTTCGGATCGGCACAGCGCCAGCCGTAGTGGGGGGTGAACCAACAGAAGGGAGTCCTTTCTCTCTGTCTCTCTCTTTCACTGTCTAACTCTGCCTGTCAAAAAAAAAAAAAAAAGAGAGAGAGAGAAAGAAATCATGGCCATGCCCCAGTTTTCATAATAGTGTCTTCATGACCTTTTTAGAAAGATTTACTTATTTATTTGAAGAGTTACAGAGAAAGAGGGAGAGACCCAGGGAGAGATCTTCCAGCCACTGGTTCACCCTCCAGATGTCTTCAACAGCCAGTACTGGGTCAGGCCGGAGCCAGGCGCGCTTCATCGGGGTCTCCCACGTGGGTGCAGGAGCCCAAACATTTGGGCCATCTTCCACTGCTTTTCCCATGCCATTAGCCAGGAGCTGGATCAGAAATGGAGCAGCTGGGACACAAACCAGTGCCCATATGGGATGCTGGCATTGCAGGTGGTGGCTTTACCCACTATACCATAAAGCCACTCCCCCCTTTTAAAAGATTTATTTGAAAGGCAGAGTTATAGAGAGGCAGAGGCAGAGAGAGAAAGAGAGGTCTTTCATCTGCTGGTTGACTCCACAGTTGGCCTCAACTGCTGGGGCTGGGCCGATTCGAAGCCAGGAGCCTCAAGCTTCTTCCAAGTCTCCCACGTGGGTGCAGGGGCCCATCTTCCACTGCTTTCCCAGGCCATCGCAGAGAGTTAGGTCAGAAGTGGAGCAGCCAGGACTTGAACCAGCGCCTAGGTATGCCGGCATTTCAGGCAGTGGCTTTACCCCTAAACCATAGTGCCGGCCCCCTCACAACCCCTTTCATGAATTTCTTGAGGACCCTTTGTATGCAAGAATATAAAAAAAATTTGCACCAAAATTAAACGTTAATCCCATTTTCCATGAACTTTGTGAAGTACCTTCATACAAGTATCTCCTTGAGTCCCTGTTTTCAATTCTTTAGCATTGAACATTCAGTGGACTTGCCACATAATACATTCAGTGGACTTGCCACATAATACGGTAATCATCTCTTCAGTGTTCTGAGGAACTGCCCTAGTGTTCTCAGAGGTCTGTTTCTGGACAGGGAGTATAAACTATGGAGTCCCTAGGGAGGAATCTTCAGACAGTCTGGTGCAACACTGTGTAGACTGTCTGAATATGAGGAGTGGGCATCACGGTGCAGCAGGTTAAGTCACTGGTTGGTCTGCACTTCTGATCCGGCTTCCTGCCAGTGCACATGGGAAACCCAGATGGAGCTCCTGGCTGCTGGCTTCAGCGTGGCCCAGTCCTCTTCCTCTCCCCCCACCCTCCACATCACTCTGTCTCTCGAATAAATAAATAAATCTTTAAAAAAAATACACAGATGTGCAGATGCATCTTTGTTCTCAGCTTCATTGGCAAGGAGACTGGTGCTTGGCTCTAGACTCGACATTGGGCAGTGTCTGGGGCCATGTTTGGTCGTCACACCTGGAGGGAGCTCCTGGCATCTAATGGGTAGAGAGCTGGTATTGTTTGGGTATAACTGACATACTTAATGCCAGTCGGTGTGGATGGTAATATTAGTCATGGAAACCATCGTTCCTTAAGTAGAACCCAGTGTGTGTGATGCATCGGGTAGGCAGGGTGCTCTACACAGTCCCTCATCCAGCTTTCTCCACACCCCTGCAAGGAAGCCGACACACTGAACAGACGCCAAGGTTTAGACACTACCTGTCCGACTGTGCGGCCTGTGCCCCCAGCCAGCACCTCTGCGGCTGCTACAAGAGGTTGGTGCTGCTGTGTGCCCTGACGTGGGAGAAGCCCCTCCTGGTCTCACTGGAGAGGTGGCAGCGCCAAGAGCTGAGGCGTCTGAGTTGTGACTGAGGACCTGGCCTTGTGTCTGACTGCTGGGCTGCAGCAGCAGGACACCCGCCCGCCTGGGCTGCACGCCGAGCCGCCCAGAGCTCTGACCCTGCGCATCTCTGCTCTCCGCAGGTGCACTACATCCTCCAGGAGGTGGTGATGGGGGGCATGGTGCTGGAGACAAACATGAACGAGATCGTGGCCCAGATCGAGGCTCAGAACAGGCTGGAGAAAGCCGAGGTGAGTCAGCAGCTGCGCTCACCCCGGCAGCGTGGAGAGGGGAGGCGCGCGTGTCGGTGGTGCTGTGGGGTGTTAGGGAATGCCCCCCTCTTCCTGGAGTTCACGAAACCGATCGATTGGCAGCTCAGCAGCTAAGCAGGTTTGAAATCTCAGACTTTGGAGCAAGAAGTATGAATGGAGAAACCAGACGGCAGAGAAAGGCACCCAGAGGGACCCAGAATGCCCCTCTCCGATTCCAGCGTTGTCCTAGTTTGTGTGCCTTGTGAACCTGATCTCCCAGTAGCCCTTTCTCGTGTGTCTGCCAGACCTCCGCGTTGCAGTGCCCTTTTTCCCAGTTAGCCTTAACAGTTGAGTTTGGTCTGGGTTTGCACCCCGACGTGGTGCTCACAGCAAGGCTGCCCCCCCATTCCAGCCTTGCTGGGAGCAGAGGTTACACGCACCGCTCTCCCCACGTGGCAGAACAGTCACCTCCTCATGCTCTGAGTGTCTGGAGAGAGCCTGGGCGTCTTAGGCAACCGCGAGCGCGAGCTCTTCGAGCCTGGGGACGGCGTCCTACTGAGGAAGCTTTCCCACCCCGGCCCCCGCGGCGCTGCGTCTCTTCAGAGATGCAGGCTGGGAAGCTTCCGGGAGGAGTGAGCGAGTCCGCAGCAAGGGGAGACACGGGGCCTCTGGCTGGGGTGCAGCTGCAGCTGGCTCCCTGAAAGCAGCCGATGGGAGTGGCCTTGAGTCTCCATCAGCGCCTCCCCTCCCCCCCCCCCCCCCCGCACTGGGAGGGAGCCTGGAGGTTGGCGCCGACCGCGCGCACCCCTCACAAAGCGCCGGCGCCTGTCAGTCACCGGTCCCGCCATGGCCTCTACACCGCTTCCCGTGCTCCCAGCTCCTGGCCAGCCGTTGGCTACCTCACACTGGTGGCTGGCGGCTGGCGAGCAGTTGTCCAAGGGCCGTGATGGTTGTTCCTTTTCCCTGTGACTTTGCCCTTGTCTGGAGGGATCTCCAGCCTCCTTAGGAAAGGGTTTTGTTCGCCTCAGAACCAGGAGGGCGCGCAGTGCTTCATCTGACTGGGATAAAAAACCTATCGGGGAGTTATCACACACAGGAAGTCAGCACCTACCGCGCACCAGGCTCTGTTGGCGGGAAGTCAGCCCCCACTGCGCACCAGGCTCTGTTGGCGGCTGGGCCATGAAACTGCCCAAGACGCAGTCCCGCCTCCAGGGAACCGTGGTTTAGTTCAGGCCCGGGCTTCGGGTCCCTGAGTCCAGACCCCATCAAACCTCCCAGCTGGTGGTGGTGGCTGCCTTGAAGGACACGGAGGCAGAGTGAAACTTGGGTGTGCTCGGCTGGAACGTCCCCAGGCCGCCTCCCCGTCGCTGCCTGATCGTTGAAGCAGTGAGCGGAAGGCCCTGAGAGCTGTCTGCTTGTCCGCAGGGCGGCCTCTCAGCAGCCCCTGCGCGGGCCGTGTCTGCTGTGAAGAACATCAACCTGCCCGAGATCCCGCGCAACATCAACATCGGCGACCTCAACATCAAAGTCCCCAACCTGTCCCAGTTTGTGTGAGGGTGCAGGAGCGGGTGAACTGGAGCCCTGGAGTGAGCAAAGCCAAATCAGTCCAGAAGCAGAACCGTTTTGAGCCTTAGAAGTCAGAGGTCGGGACCTGAGCCTTTCTGTGTGGCGTGCAATGGGAAGGGGGTTCACGCTTCCACAGCTGGGCTCTGCTCTGACCTGTGGCCTCTGCGGATGGGAGGGCCTTGCCTTCCTCGGTGGGCATTGGCCCAGGCCACTCGCACCTTCGCCTCCCCTACCACGCTCCAGGGACTGCCTCCCGCGGCCGCTTGCTTCTCTGAGCCCACCACCAGGACCAAGCGCGGTCCCTGGCTGGAGTCTTCAGCCTTAGCTGAAGCTGAGCTCCAGGTGTGAGGTCCTTAGCACTTCCTGGGGGTGAGGCACCTCAGGAAGAGGGCTGGCCCTTCAGATTTGGGGTGTCGGGGTGGCAGGTAAGGGCAGGGCCTTACGAGAGCCGCCCCTCCGCTGGCTCTGCAGGTGCGTCACACCTCTGCAGAGCGTTCTCCCCACCTTCACCGCCCCACTTGTCACAGGTGTGGAGGGGCAGGACACAGTCCAGATCAGAGGCCTGGGGCATGCCCACCTCCCTTCTGTGGGTAGGGCGAGCACCCCATCCATGTGCCAGAGAGGTCCCTGGGTCGTGAGGAGGGCCCCGAGGCTGCAGAAGGCTGCAGCTGACGGCCTGTGGAACATCCCAGAACTGGGACGCTCTCCAAGTCTGAAATACACTCTCCTCACGGGAGCAGAAGGCCCAGTTGCTGTGTCCTGAGTGCTGAGTTGCATCCGTGGGAAACCCACGGGCGTCTGTGCCAGGGTCGAGTGTGGAGCCGGAGTTGGGGGGTCACAGTCAGGGTTCGGACAGAGGAAACACCCGGCTGAGAGCAGGCGCCAGCGCTGTGGGCCCCGCCCCGGGGGCTGCCCTCCCGGGGCTCGGGTGACATGTGATAGACCCTTTTCCAGAGCTGAGCTTGCTCCTGCCCCTGCGCTGTCACAGCCGGCTCTCAGCTGTGGTGCTGAGCTGCCCTGTAAACGTTCCCGCCGGGGGCGCTCTCGAGCCTGCGCGCCTGAGACTGCGCCGGGGCCGGTCACCCTCCGTTTCGGCCCGTGCCTCTCGTCCCCACGCTGTCACAACCTCTGGGGAGCCCCAGAGATGGCGGTGGCCAGAAGGTGGGAACCAGGGGGACTGTGGGTGAATGGGCCGGACGTCGCGCCCCAGCGGCGTTCGTCTCCAGGGCGCTGCTCGATGTGGCGGCCCGGGCGTCCTTCCACGCTTGCTGACGCGACGCAGGGGAGAGGCGGGAAGCAGCGTTGCTCTGCACCTGCGAGGGCCCGAGCCTTGCCCACAGCGTCCTCCTCCCCATTTGCAGGGAAGAGTAGATGCACTTTAGGACCCCCAGGACCAAGGTCTGAGACTGCCCACCCCCTGACCCTGCAGGCTCCCCCACCCTCCCTGTGCCCAAAGTGACTCCTCCCGATGTTCTCATCGTATTTGTAGAAAGGAGACAGCCTCAGAGCTCGCCAGGTAACTTCTCATGAACTCGGGAACAACACGTTTTGTGTCCCAAGGCAGCCAGTGACCGTGTCACATGGTGTAAGCACTGAGATGGCCGCCACGCCCCTCACAGTCCCTCCTCGCAGCTGCTGGGGAATCGGAAGGCCTGACTGAGGCGGGTCACTAAGCTGGACCCGTGTCATTGCTTTCCAGTCGAGTGGTGATGGGCTCCAATGCCTTGCGCAGGCGGCACAGGAGCCGGGTTTCCTGGGAGAGCCTGACTTCCAATGGCCTCGGCCTGCCAGAAACCGGTGGTGCCAAAACCATGGGCTGGCCCTGGAAGTCCAGAAGTGAGCACCCGGGCAGCATCCCTCACACGGCCTCTGAAAATGGCACAGAGCCCAGCCTGTATTAGTAGTTTGGAATAACTGTTCATTAACTACTTGTCTGCAACCGGCAAAGCCATTAAGCCTCTCTTTTTTTTTCAATTTTTAAGATTTTATTTATCCATCTATTTGAAAGGCAGAGTGACAGAGAGAGACAAGGAGAGGCAGAGATAGAATTCACTCCCCAGATACCCACAACAGCCGCAGTGGGGCCAGGAACTCCAGCCAGGTTTCCCACGTGGGCGGCAGGCACTCCAGTCCTCATGCCGCCACTCGCTGCCTCCTGGGCGCATTAGCAGGAAGCTGGAGGAGAGGCAGGGGTGAGACAGCCCCAGGTGCTCCAGGCTGGGGTGCGCACGTCCCTAGGGGCAGCCACCCCGCTGCACCGCAGTGCCTGCCCCAGCACCTTTCCGAAAAAAATCAGAGGAGGTCCTCACTGGCCTCTGGAGGCAGGCCTCGGTTTTGCTGCTGACGGACGTCGCTGGTGGGAATAGAGCTGGCTTTGAACGTGCTCGGGGAGTCCTTGGCCCTGCACGACTCACACGGAAGATTCCCGAGGCGGGGAAGATGCTGCGTTCTCAGGGCTCATTGACACTAACTAAACCCCACTCTTCCATCGTGCGACTTCCAAGTAGCTGGCGATGGCCAAGCTCTAGGCTCCGCTTCCGATGGTTGCCCCGTGAGGGTTGTTGACAGAACGGACTGTTGGGGTGGGGGCAGTTTGACTGTCAGCCTGACTCTGTGGAGAACAAAGTTTACATTGGTGACACTTGGGAAATCTAAAGGACAGTAACCTGTCTCCCGCCTTCGGCTGACCCCCTGTCCTGCGGGGCTGTGCCCCCAGCGCCCCGTCTTCCCAAGTCCCTGTTTTGTCACCTGTCCCTCCCTCCCCACCACGTCTCCTGCCACAGAGCCAGCGCCCTGGAAAAGGAGTGGGGAAAAGCCAGGTTGCCGGCTCATCTTGCCTCCAGGGGGGTTCCCAGGTGTGACCATCTGTGGTTTTCCCGACGGGAAGCAGCGTGAGCAGCCCGTGAAGATAAAGATCAGGTACGGGCCAGCGCCGCGGCTCACTAGGCTAATCCTCCGCCTAGCGGCGCCGGCACACTGGGTTCTAGTCCCGGTCGGGGCGCCGGATTCTGTCCCGGTTGCCCCTCTTCCAGGCCAGCCCTCTGCTGTGGCCAGGGAGTGCAGTGGAGGATGGCCCAGGTGCTTGGGCCCTGCACCCCATGGGAGACCAGGAAAAGCACCTGGCTCCTGGCTCCTGCCATCGGATCAGCGCGGTGCGCCGGCCGCAGCGCGCCGGCCGCAGCGGCCATTGGAGGGTGAACCAACGGCAAAGGAAGACCTTTCTCTCTGTCTCTCTCTCTCACTGTCCACTCTGCCTGTCAAAAAAAAAAAAAAAAAAAAGATCAGGTACGGGCCTGGTGCAGGTGCAGCAGCAGCCAGGGTGGAGGGCGCACAGCCACCCTGGGGTGCCCATCTCACTGCGGCTTGGTTACGCTGTGCCCACCGCTCCTCGAGCACCAGCAGGGGCGGCCCTTCCCAAAGACACCTGAACGTCTTTCCTAGTTCAGTTCTTCCCTCCAGGGAAGGAAATGCCTTCACGTAGTTCAGACTTTGAGAAAACAGAGGCTGCCCAGCAACTCTGAGCCCGCTTCCCTGGAAGCAGCAAGGTGTGCGATTTGAGGGGTTAATAAACAAAGTCCCTGGCGTTCCTTCACCAGAACCGGCTGTGTATCTGCCTGCAGGTGTGTTAAGTTCTATCTGACCTCGGCCTCGCCTTCTGCCCTGGCCCTCGCGTGCTGTGTTTGGTGTTTAACTTCCTGTTTCCCTGCTAGTACACAAGCCCTCGGGGCGGGGGCCCCTGCCCCGTGCTGCATCCGGGCTGCTGTGGACAGCGCCTGCACCGAGGGGGCACGCGGGAGGCAGACGGGCGTTCAGGTCATTCGTCTCCCAGCCTCGCTGCCCATGTGCCCAGGACCCTGCCCTCAGCACTGGGAGAAGAGGAACCAGGCAGAGCTGATGGGTGCTGGCAGCGGAGGAGGGGAGAGACGCGTGGGTGCCACATCGAGGAACCCCTGACCAGTTTCCTGCTAACGCACTGGGGAGCAGCGGGGATGGCTCAGTGCCACCGTCTGGTTCCTGCCACCCCCAGTTCGAGTGTCCAGGTCGCTCTCAGCCTGGCACAGCCCCAGCCACTGCAGGCATTTGAGGTGAGAACCAGCGGATGGGAACTCTCTCTCTCAAATAAATAAACTTGGAAAAAAGAAAGGTGTGATGTGGACACGTTCAGGTTGCAGTCTCCCAAGAACCCCTGGGGCAGATGTCCAGCAGCTGGCTGTGTGGGCAGGAGAGGAAGTGAGTGTCTGTCCCACACATGACATGGCCAAGCAGTTGGGGGGGTGGGGCTGAGGACGGAGCCCAGGGAGTGGAGGTGACTTGGAGCCCAGGGGAGACTTGAGTGGGGAGGGGACTAGGAAGAGACGACCTCTCAGGCTCGCGGCCAACCTGGCCAAGCCCTGGAAGTGACCCAGCCAAGTCGAAGAACTCTGAGGAGGGCCAGGGTCCTGCCTGCAGGGGGTGTGGGCAGGGTGGGTCGCAGTCAGCCTGCAGCCGATCCTGTCCTAGTCCACTGGAAGAAGATTAGCCGAGGGAATGCACTCCCCCGGGGCTCGGTGCACACTGGCAGTGGTCGTCCAGGGGCTTCTGCAGAGGGAGGGGCTGGCTTGGGAACCGCAGTATCTGGTGCTCAAGTCCTGGCTGGGGGTGGGGACTGGGATGGGGATGTGAGGTGGACGCCAAGGCGTGCCCAGAGGTGCTGGCCTGGCCCCAACAGAGAGGTCCCACGCACGTAAGCGGAGGCGCCACTGGATAAGGGGGCGGGGTCTGTGGGAAGTGAAGCTTCCCTTGAGATGAGGAGGGTTGGAAGAAGAGCGAATGTGATTGGTGGGACGGCCAGTATGGGAGCTGGCAGGGAGAGGAGCCCAGAGCTGCCCTCACAGAGGCCCAGTGGAAGGGCCTGGCATTTGTCCAGCACACGGGGTGGGATGGGGTCTCTGGCCAAGCAGGCCTGGTCGAGAGTGGGAGACCCTGGAAAGACTCCACACCTCCCCTGAGAAGCAGGGACCACCTGCTGTGTGGCTGAGGGCGCCCTTTCACGCCCACGAGGTGAACGCTCGGCCGCAGTGGGCTCCAAAGGTGCATCCTCTGGTCCCCCGGCTGGGGTGACAGAGTATCCCCAGCCGGTGTGGGCCCGGCACTGCCCGGGCAGAGGAGGTTCCGGCTGGGGAGCGTGACTGGTGGTTTACCTTGGCCCTGCTGCTGGGACCCCGCCTCCCTGAAGCAAGGGGCCCCCAGGGGCTCCACATCAGGAGGCTGGTCAGGCGCTCTGGGTGGCCTGGTCAGAGTCCGCTGCCCCCTCCCATGCCGGTGCTGTGGCGGCAGGGCCAGGCGCCTTCACCCTGAACCGTCCAGGGCTGGGGGTACAATGGCCAAGAAAGCCGTAAGCCCAGGGCACTGCTGCCCTCGCCCTGCGCAGCCTGGGGCTGGGGGCTTCTCCAGCTTCTTGCCCTGACCCCCGGCTGCAGGCCACACAGGCACAGCAGCTGTCCCCTACGCTGGCCAGAGGCGGCGCTCAGCCTGCGGAGCGGCCCTTTCATTGTCCCTGACAGGAGCTGGGCTTTGAGCTGTGCAGCCGGCTTCTCCTGAAACTTCTGTGGTGGGCGTGGTGGGCAGCCCAGACCCTCCACCAACAGGCCTGGCTCCTGGGGGCGTTCTCTGCTGAGGCTGCCCTGAGTGTCCCAGCCTCCATCGGCTGTGTCTCCACCCCAGCGCGTGATAGCAGCTGTCCAGGCCCCTGCTGGCTCCCCCACAGCC